TTTCTATTTCGACTTTAGGTAGAGGAAAAATTTCCCCGTTTGTTCTGCGCTTTCTGGGGGGGAGTCCCTGGATGATTAAATTAAACCAAAGATTTTACCATGACTGCCACATTTTAGAGAGACGCGCAAAGCGAAAGCCTATGGCGTCGTTTCTGTAACTGGATTAACCAGCATGAAAAAACCGTCTTTACATTGGCCATGTTTGGTGTTTTGATGAATCCCTACTTTAATTGACCGCAAACTTCTGAATTTATTATCGCTGTTCATGCTTGCCCACCGTCCGGTAAGATATTTTGATCGGTATCCTGAACCTCGTTCTGGTCGTCGTTACTTGTATGGAAACCAATATGTATTTTCTGGTGGCCATTATTCCCGTACTGGCTGCGGCTATAGGTTTGCCCATTTACCCAGATATGCGGAACGGGCATCCGTGATGAATGGTCTATACAATGGCGGTCCTTATGACGCTGAACTGTTCTACATTTCTACGTGGTTGTAAGCTTTTACATGGTCCGTGAAGGGGAACTTAGTTTCCGTCCTGGGTATGCGCCCTTGGATTTTCGCTGTTGCCATATTCAGCTCCGGTGTTGCAGCTGCTAGCTGCTTTTTACTTGGATCTATCCAATTGCCGTCCAAGGAAGCCTTTTCTGATGCGATGCCTCTAGGAATTCCTTCTGGGTACTTTCAAACTTTGATGATTGTATTTCCAGGCCTGAGCACAACATCCTTATGCAGCCCATTTCACATGTTAGCTTTAGGTCTGTGTATTCGGCGCCGTTCCCTTTCCATGCTGCTATGCATGGTTCCTTGGTAACCTCGGTATTTAGATCAGAGAAAACCACAGAAAATTGAATCTGCTATGAAGCGTTTACAGATTCGCGTCAAGAGAAGAAACTTATAATATCTAGCCGCTCATGGTTAAAATTTGGCCGATTGATCTCTCCCCAACTATGCTATTTCAACAATTCTCGTTCCTTACATTTCTTCTTAGCTCGCTTTTGGCCTGTAGTTAGGTTATTGGTTCCACTGCTTAGGTATTAGCACTATGCGCTTCAACCTAAATGGTTTCAATTTTCAACCAATCCGTGAGTTGAATTATCGAACAGGTCGTGTTAATTAATACCGGGCGTTGATATTATTAACCGTTATGCAACCCTCCTGGTATCGAAGTGTATGCAGAACCGCTACATGCTCATAACTTCCCTCGTAGACCTAGTGCTGTCGAAGCTCCATCCTATAAATGGATAAACGACTCTCGATCTTAGTTGTGTACGATTCTTGAAAAACTATAAACATAAAGGAGCAACTACCAACCCTTTTTGATAAAAAGAAGACCAATTGGTATCCTGGCTCCTTTTTGATAGTTTTTTTAGAGTATTCAGATTTAGTAATATATATAGTAATATATATAATATATATCTATATATATTATACTCATATTTTTTTTGATATTTTGATTTTACCTAACTTACACTAAACAAAAAAAATTACATAAACATAAAAAAGTTTTTTTCTTACTTCAATACAAAAAAGAAAAAAAAAACAATCATGATTTTATGCGGCTGGTTTCTGATTGAAGTATTCTATTACTCTTGCTCCTATTTTTTTTTTATTCTATTTTTCTTTTCAGTTCGATTTCAAATAAAAATATTAAAAGATAAAGCTTTCATGTTATGTCTTTTGGCACTGCTTCTTTGTAGTTGTTATTCTCTATCTCTGTACTTTGTATCCTTACTAACGATATAAGATGAAGAAAGAAAAGAAAAAATAAATCTAAATGCTCAGCAATTTCATCTAGAAATTGAAATCCTCTGCTTCATACTCTTTTATTCTAATCTACACTTTTGAGATAAAGTATAAATATTAGGGCGGATGTAGCCAAGTGGATCAAGGCAGTGGCATGGCTGACATCCACCACGCGCGGGACGGGGGTTCAAATCCCCGTCGTCGCCCAATCAATACCGAACCCAAAAAAATCACCCATCACAGAGAAGAAAAGGATAGGGCGAGATGGCTCCTGGAATTGCGAGCTTAACTCGCATTTTTGGTCTCTGTATTAGCAGCGCAGTTGAATCTGCATTTTCTTGCAAAAGCAAGAGAATCGCTATTGTCTAGAAAAGACCAGAGAAGGCCCAGAATTGTAGAGTTCAAAAGACAAAAGTCGCCACAAGATTGTCCACCTTTTTCGAGATCAAATCAGCCACAATGGGTTAATAGAGATGAGACTTGTTGGGAGGGGCATCACGCAAGGTTTATAAAGGTCTCTTCCATCTGGAGGAAATGTTGGCCAGTGAAAAATTCGAGAGGCTTACAATGCGTACTACGCGCACCTGTTTGCGCAATCCTTCCCACCACTGCGAGTTTGCCAAAACAGATGCTGGTGCTTGTCAAGGCACAAGCAAACTTTTTCAAGCTTCAATTGCCCTGTAGAGGCGGACTGAGTTAGTTCCTGCGTTTTTTCAGTTCCTACCCCAAATCAATAGGGAGCCCTCAAAAAAACTGACTGCATTTTAGCTTAAAATTCTGCAGTTTCCTGTCATGGAAGCAGTTTTGAACTATAAAATACAAATTTGGCGCGGTTGCTTCTGCTGCTTACGTATCGTCACGGTAGAATGCAAGAGACAAATCATCACAGAGATCGTGAAGCCCTGGCACATATAATGCTTGAATGCAGATTTTCAATGCCCGGGGATTTTGGTCCGGAACGATTTTGATATTCTGCGCTGCTCTCCAAACTGTGCAAGACTGATGTGACCACGCTTGTGGGTAGTCGCGTAGTTAGAAGTGCGAACTTGGGGACAGCCTTTTGAAGATGACAAACTGGCGTGTTGATTATGCTGTCGGGAACTTGTGGAAAAGAAGAAACCTAATAGGCTGCCTATCCAAGGGGAGGACAGTTTGAGGCCACTTAGAGATGAGGCATGCTTCATTGCTGCGCCGGCTTCTTTGTGTGCACCCAGACTATCTGACGAATAGGCCAAGAGTAAGAGATGCAGCAAGGATTCTTAAGGAGAAGCACGCACTACCATCGTGCCAGCCAGTAAACCAAGGGTGCCAGGATTAGGCCCTGTTTTTGCCAAATTGCATACAGAGGAAAATACTGAATGTTGTTGCGACGATCGACCCAATATGATGTCCGCCATATTATGACCCGATAGCGATCCAGTTTAAACTAGGACTAGTACATTAAAGTCCAGATGAATTTAGATCATTGAGTTGTCACTGATTTTGTTTCCTTTTGTTAATAATTTGCCATTTGGCAACTTGCTGAGATATTGAGAAAACATGCTGTTAGTATTCTAAAAGAATTTGAAATGATAATGGGTCGGTTTCATGCCTAAAGTAAAAGTGCTTGTTTATTTGCTTTAACAATATCCCAATCTGCACATTCAGGCAACAAAAAACAATAGATTTTTCGTTTCCTCTGCTCACAGGCTTGTGTTCAAGACACCTGAATCTCCAAAGACCACTCCAATTTCATCGATGATACCTTTTGTTGACCTACTTAATCACTGCTTAAAAACCGCGCTCTATTGAGCCACTGATGGGTAGGACGATTATCTAAAATGGCCCTATAATTAATTGGCACCGGGACTCCACCCCGCCCAACGATAATTTAATAATAATTATAAATTTAATAATAATTATTAATCTAATAAGGATATCATCATATACATAAAGAATCTTAAATAAAAAAAAAAAAAATAGCCAGCCACTCGCAAAGGCCTAAGCCCATATAGCCTCGGCCCACTAGGAGCCTTTCCGCCAAGTTTTTTGTCCACTTCTTCTTTATAAACTTCTTCATTAACAACTAAAGGTTGCAACAAAAAACAGCTGCTACTGACTAGTTGTGAACTGTACGCATTGAGCTGTAAACGGCTACCTTTGCCTTGGGAAAAGCAAGCGTCTGATCAGATCAATCAAGCGAATTCAAGTTAATCAAGGACTGGGCCCTGTCCGAGTGACGCATTGCCGAGGAGTGCCATAGCAGCAGACGGTACAAATAAGCCAGTGAAAATGAGGACTAGGAGAGTTGCTCACGACGCAAGCCCACGCGTGGTCACGTGAAGCGAATACGAATCCACCCGTGGGTTTGCTACGTGATTCGCTTTCGACGTCTCGTCGGAGTGACGATTGCGTCCATCCTGATTGAAGAACTATTACAGAAAGGAGCGCAGGGGGCCTGTCCTTATGTATGTTTAAAGGGGGTACCTCTCTTCTCTGCATGTGCGCATATCTATTGCTGTCCTATCTTCCTTGAAGTAGTGAGTCGGGCGATTAAGCCCGTGGCCGATACCGCCCGAAAAACGAAGGACTTTTATTTTCGCAAACTTAGAGCTTCCAACGTTCTATAAATAGAAGCGCTTTCAGCTATATTTTCAAAGAGAGACGTAGGGTAGAAAAAAAAAAACCCATAGATAGCAATGATAGGGCATTCCCCCTTCCAGACTTGCCACGCCATTCCGGGGCGAAAATTGTCCAACTCACCCTCTCTCTCTT